TAGTGTCGCTCCCCGCTTAGGGGCGTCATTCTTGGAGGTGCGCATTGGCTCGAGGGACCAGTGGACGGTTTCAGCGTGGAGCGGCGTTTCATGTGACGCATCGACGACGTGGCGCTACAGGGTCTCGACAACGGATGCGTGGCGCGTTGTCCGGCAGCGTGGTGGCGTTAACGGCAGGCCTGGCAAGGTCGATGCGTCGATACATACTATGAAGATGGATCGGTGGAAGACAGTGGCGGCGGGCTCTGCAGCGTGCGCATGTGTTGCCCGCTGAGAGTGCGTTGAACCGGTGTGTGCCTCAGACACGGCGGTTGCGGCTTGGTTGAGGCCTACGGTCTTAGATGTTGGGCTTTGAGGTGGCATCTAGGCAGGCGGCCCGAACAATGCGCATCCCCTCGTCAAGTTGATAGGAGTAGCAACAGATGTTGTCAAGATGATCGCTTAAGACAAAAGGGGATGCGCGATGGTTGGGTGGATAGAGGAAGAGATCGATGAAAAGAAGGGGCGTGGCATGAAGTGATGGCCCTGCTGAGAAATCTTTTCCTTCCCTCCCCCTTTCCTCTGGCGGGCAGACAGGCGGGCTGCTCTGCTGCCGCTCTGATCCCGGCCTCCCCCCGCCATCTGCATCGGCGTCAGCAGCTGCCCAAACACAAACCCTGCAGATTCTTTATCACAGCCACAGCGCAACCAGCTGCTCACACACACGCAGAGAGACAGAGAGCGGAGTGGACGTGACAGAGAGCTACTGCTCTGCTTGGTATATACTCCATCACCATCACGTGGAAGCCATCGATCGATCGGTCGGAGCCAAGGACGCGCGCGCAGAGCCGTGGACACATGCACCCGGCCATGGCGGCGGCGGCCTTCTTCCACGGCGGAGACGAGGAGAAGGCGGGGGTGGTGGTGCAGGGCGGCCTCAATGCGGCGCGGCCGGCCTTCGTCACCCAGCAGCTCTTCCCGACGACGGCGGCGACGCAGCAGCAGGCGACGGAGCTCCCATGGGGCGGGGCGGCTGCGCACTGGGCCCGGCCGGCGTCGAGGACCAAGAGCCGGCGCGGGCCGCGGTCGCGGAGCTCGCAGTACCGCGGCGTCACCTTCTACCGCCGCACCGGCCGCTGGGAGTCCCACATCTGGTATGCCACCCCGCCGTCAACCTCCCTCCCTCCCTCCCTCCCCTTCCAATCCAATCCAATCCATGGCGGCAGCAAAGCTTCCAAGATCATTATGCAAACCATCTTCCCTCGATATTGCCCTCATCTCCGTCTCTCGTCTGTGTTTCTTGGATCTGCAGGGACTGCGGGAAGCAGGTGTACCTGGGTGAGTCCCAGCTCTCTTCTTGCGTGGAACTTCATTCTTCACCGATTCATCCTCAATGCTCTGTTCATGACTCTGTTCTTGTTTTCTCCAATTCTTTTGCAGGAGGATTCGACACTGCACAAGCCGCTGCAAGGTCAGCAAAACCCCAGAGCAATGCTCGATACTATCCTGCACATTGTTTCATGTCTTGAAAAAATTTAGAGCAGAGAGAGGACACATCTTTGCAAAGTGAAACCTGAAGAAGATGAGCTTGTCTGAGTTTCAGGGCGTACGACCAGGCGGCGATCAAGTTCCGCGGCGTGGAGGCGGACATCAACTTCGTGCTGGACGACTACAAGGAGGACATCGGCAAGGTGAGCAGGAGCACGCCAGAGCTCTCCCTCTCCCCTGTCCATCTGCTGCATCTTCCTCGTCGGCAATGCCTGCTCTGTTTCTGACGACAACATGGTGATCTAATGATCTTGCTGCTGGCTGCCGTGGCAGATGAGCGTCTTGAGCAAGGAGGAGCTGGTGCAGGTGCTGCGGCGGCAGGGCGCCGGGTTCGTGAGGGGCAGCTCCCGGTTCCGCGGCGTCACCCTGCACAAGTGCGGCAAGTGGGAGGCCAGGATCGGCCAGCTCATGGGCAAGAAGTCAGTGATCCGTCAGAGCAAAATGTGTTCCATTTGCCACGGAGATGAGCGTGACAAGTACGGAGTATGTGATTAATCGTGTGTGCTGATCATTGCAGGTTCGTGTACCTTGGCCTGTATGACACGGAGATGGACGCTGCAAAGTTAGTACACATATCTCCTCCCAGTTTCTGCACTGACTGATGCTCATTCAGTCATTCTGTTTCTGTGCCATGGATGATGATCTTATCTGTTGTTTGCTTGCTGATGATTTCCTATCCTGTGATGTCTGATTGACTGGGTGATCAGGGCCTACGACAAGGCGGCGCTCGAATGCAGCGGCGAGGAGGCGGTGACCAACTTCGAGCCCAATGCGGCAGCGGCGGTGTGCGACGGCGAGCTCGGCCTGCAAGGTGAGCTCCCTGACTGATGACAAGAAACTCATTTTGGTTGCAGACTTGGCATGTTCTGAAAATGGGATTATTGTTGGCATTGTTTGTTGCAGCTTGGGGCGGCGAGCCTGATCTCGAGCTCAGCCTGGGCTGCTCCGGCGGCGGCGATTCCTCCATGGTCACCAGCGGCGACACCCTCCACACCGCAGCCGTGCCGGGCAGCCGGAGGACGAGCCTGACGGTATGTCTTGGACTCACTGAATTCTGTTGTTGCACATTGTTGCTAGCTACACAATGACTGAATTGCTTCTGGCACTGACACTGAAACTGAAATTGTTTGTTCGGGGACCAGTTCGAGATGCCGGAGGAGGAGGAGGCGACGGCGCCATGGCACCCCGGCAGGACCAGGAGCATCTGGATGAGGCCTTCGCCGGCGTCGATAACACCGGCACTGAGGTGCCCGGACGGCGATCACCGCCCCACCATCCCGCTCAGCAGCATGCTCCAGATGGTATGTGATACAGTAGTAAGCCTGTGACCAATGATCGCCTGACTGAAACCACACACTGACCAGCCCAGAGCATCATGTCGTGTGACCGTTGAACAGGGCCAGATCGGCGGAGGCGGCAGGGCAGAGCCACACATGCTCGGGTGGCCCATGGGTGGCAGCGATCGTTGGCAGCCGTACGCCGCCGAGGCAGCAGCAGCAGCATCATCAGGATTCCTGCCGGCGCCGGGGCTGGGAGGCGTCCAGCGGCAGAACCACCACCGGCCGGGCAGCAGGGAGCAACTGTGGCACTGAGCAGCCACCGGGCTGCAGCATTCCGGCGTCGGCATAACATGTTTTGGGAAGAAGGAACCACCGTCACCCTCCCTTTTTGTCAGGTTAGCAGGCCGGCGCGCCGCCATCATCGCCTGCCAACCCCGGCGTGCATGGCCGGTCCGGTGATCCCGGTGGCGCTTAGCCGTAGTATATCCCGTAGAGAAAGCGACGAACGCTGTAGCTCCAAGAACCTTGTGGTGGTATGTCCAGCAGATCCTGTCGAAACCTGATGATGCCTTCAGTAGAAATTTCAATCTGGATGATGATGATGGTGATGATGATGATGGATCTTGTTGAATGAATCCGGTCACTTTTGGGATGCATGAACTTCCCAGAATCATCATCAGTTGCTGCACTGTTTCCTGCAGATTTTCATGTGGAATGAATCTGGCACTTCACCTCACAGGCATGTGTTGAGTGACCTGACAAAACACATCAGGATCAACAAGACTCACTCAACACCATAAACAATCATGAATGAATCCATACTATACCAGTATATATACCGGGAAACAAGAAAACATAAGGATCAATAAAATGCAGCATCACCACAGCGACAGCATGTACACATGGGAGCAAAAGAAACAGATCACAATGTAGAGGCAGATAGAATTGGAACAGGTGATAAAAAGAAAAGGAAAGAAAAAGACATGTATGGTTCACCACAGGTTGCACAGCCAACATCAGGGTCCATCCCAGTCCCAGTACGTGCCATTTGATTCAGGGGTCACATACATAATTCAATCATTCCATGGAACAGCCAGCTCCTGCCTGAGCACACATAATTACTCTTCTTATATCTTCCCTTGGTCTAGTCTAGCAGGGCAAGCATAAGTTAACGGCATTATTATTAAATCACCATCATCGTCATCGCGGCTAAACCAACATCGGTATGTAACCTAGCACTGTATAACCAAAAAGGAACACTAATCTGCAAGCAGGAAGTTTGCATAATAGGCGCCAACTTCCGACTTGTTCTTCTTCATTCACACCGCCACCAGCAGCAGCTGCAGCTGCTGTGCCTCGGAAGCTCATATGGGAGCGGCGCAGGTGGTCCTGAAGTGGCCCGTCTGGTTGCAGCGGCTGCAGTGCACGACCCGCTTGACCCGGCCCAGGTCCTCCGCGCGGACCCTCGTCTTCCTCGGCCGCCCGGGGGGGCGCAGCGACTTTGGCGGGTTGATGATCACCTCCAGCCTGTCCTCGGCGGGCTGGCCCTCGTTCCAGAGGGTCTTGTCCGGGATCGGGTGTATGGTCTGCGAGTAGGTCTTGCGGTACGTCGCGACCGTGAAGCAGCTCTCCGTGTAGCGGTGCACGTTCTGCCTGCACGAGAGCAGCGCCGCCACGCCGTGGGAGCACGGCGCGCCGTACAGCTGCCACCCGCGGCACAGGCAGCACCTGTTGCGGATGTCCACCACGTTCGTCCCCTCATGGGGCGAGATGACCTCGAACTCCGCCTCGTTGGCGCGGGCCACCTGGAAGCCCCGCGCGCGCTCGATGGCCTCCTGCACGCGGCGCTCGGCCGTGGGCACGAGGATGGTTGCCCACTGCATGCTCGCTTCACGCCGCTCGTTGAACCACGTCATGAGCTGGCGACGGAGGACCTCCATCATCTGATTTATGGGAAGGACAGATGCGTCCAGTATCCAAGAATTCATTGACTCCATGGTATTTGCTGTCAGGTGACCATACCGTATCCCCTCAAAGTAAGCGGTGGCCCAGAGGCGAGGAGGTAGGCGTCTGATCCAACAAACAGCCTCTTGTGATGTGTCCTCTATCTCTAGTAGCTTGGTTTCGAACTCTATCACAGTCAGCGCATTGGCAGCTTCCCAGAGAAGGTTGACAAGCACTGAATTGTTGAACTCTTTCTGGAAAGTTTCACTGACATGGCGCATACAGAACCCATGGAATGCAGTTGGGAAGTTGAAATCAACTCCATCAACAATACCCTTGCGCCTATCTGACAAAATTGTAAGCCTTGGCATGTTCTCTGTGTTCTTCTCCAGCAACTCATGCAGCTCAGACAAAAACCATATCCAATTCTCATCTGTCTCCTCATCAACCACGCCAAACGCCAGAGGAAACAGAGCACCATCACCATCAAAAGCAGAGGCAAGAAACAAGGTACCAAGATACTTGTTTTTCAGAGTAGTTCTATCAAGACCAATGAGCGGACGGCATGCATTTACAAAACCATATATCGACGCATAGAATGATATGAAGAGTCGCCGGAAGCAGTTATCATCTGGGTTCCCGTAGACCCTAGCGATGCTTCCTGGGTTTGTTCTTTCCACCTGCCTACAGTACTCAGGCAGGATTCGGTACCCTTCTTCAAAAGACCCGCGAACTGCTGCCATGATCCGCTCTTTCCCTCTCCAGGCTTGCTTGTACGATAGTGTGATGCCATGTGACTTGTGGATTTCTTCCAAAATTTCCTTAGGCTTGCAGTGTGGATTCTCTCGCAGCCTCTCTTCGACAGTACTTGCAACCCACTGAACAGATGCCTGCTGGTGGCCAAGATGGTTTATCCCCACACAAGTATGTTTATCAAGTATAGTTCTGATGGAGAAAGTGGGCACTCCAGGAAGCTTTGCAGCATGGATGCGCCACGGGCAGCCCTCAGCAGCGCACTTAGCAGTGAACCGCGACTTGTCAGACTTGACCGTCTGAATCTCGAAGTGGCAGGCAATGGCAGTGTTGCGGATAGCCCTGCGGCAGCTCATGACATCCGGGAACTCCTGGCCCACCACAAGCTGAAACTCGGTGCTCACAACCATCATCCGCGACTGGACGACAGGGGCAACGGCAAGAGGGCCCTGCGAGTAGTCATCGCCCGGCTCGAGGGCGAGGTCGTGGGCCTGCTCGAGCGAGAGATGATCAAGATTATCATCGTCGCCGAGGGGATGAGGCTCGGTGAGCGCCAAATCACCGAGGTCATGGTGGTCTTCCCCGTCGTCCATCGACTCGTCCTCATGCCCTTGCCCCAGAGCAAGATCACTGGTGTGGCCATGGTGGTGGTCGTGCCTGAGGACGAGCTGGCCGTCGTGGTGGTGGCCGAGGACGAGGTCATGATCATGATCATGCTCGTGCGACTGGCCGAGCACAAGATCGTGGTCGTGCGGATGGCCTAGGCCGAGGTCATGGCTGTGGCCCAGGCCCAGCACATGGTGATGATGGTGGTGGTGATGATCCTGCCCGAAGTCGTGGTGGCTCTGCCCCAGCGCTAGCTCCGCGGCGTCCTGCCCGTGCCCAAGAACCAGCTCGTGGTTGGCCATCATCAATCTTCACCAGGGGGACTCCGCAGCTGGTCAAACAAACAACCCAATCAGCAACGCACGCGCAATCAATTCATCAATCAATCAATCAGTCAGCGGAAGAAATTGCAGCGGGGCACTCGAAATCCGCCGTCTTTCCCCCGCAATTCGGCAATCGGACCCGCGGACGAACAGATAAACGGGAAAAGGGGGACGGATCTAGATTCTAGACGGCGCGCGCAAAGAAATCGCGAGGGTCAGTGGGAATTCCTCTCTCTTTTTCGGATCGTCGGGTCGGCGGGACTGAACCAATCGATGGACGGGAGCAAGCTCGTACCTTGAGACCCGGTCAATGGCGGCCACGGATTGCGGGCGGGGCGGGGGCGGCGGGGCCGCGATGCCGTCG